TGCCACGTAGAATTAAGGCAGTTCTGAAGGCGAAAGGGGGTCAAACACCGTATTAGTATGGTGTTCCTAATAATCCTTTAGGTGAGTGTACATTCATACATACATATCTAGTTATCTCGCTTAATGAATTTTCTTTATTTTCCTTCTAGTGAAAAAAATCATTAACCTACTGGAACCCACTCTCACCACACGCACAGCTTGTAAGTGTTTTGAATAACAGAATTATTTCTCACCGTGTGTAATGATTTAACTCAACAGGCCAAAGAGGAAATTTTGAAATCAGGGAAGGACTCAAGTCTCATTCACATAAGATTTTGGTTATCTGACATGTTAGGGGAACATTCTCTTTCACAATGGGGTACTGGTCAGTTACAGCTAATCAGTGAATTATATATGTCACATCCTGATTGATGGGGATAATGGCACATATGCATAGTTACGGCCCCTAGTGGGTATGCATGTATAAAAGAATTACAGGAGATTTATTCGTTAACATATTGTTTCCAGTGTGGGCAGTGAAAGTTGTTTCTGACGTGTGTCTTTATCAAAGGCTGGTGTCCTCTGCACAATGTAGTTTACTCACAGGATGTTGATGTTAATGTCTTTTATTAAGTGTTTTAGCAGCATTCATCCATGCACACCAATGCCAAGCACCCACATTGTTCGGTATGATGCATATTGTTTCATTTTCATTAATCAGAACATAAATAAGGTACATCACAATATGTCACAGCCAAAATGGTTCCAGCTTCCACACTGCAAGCACACTATTCTGAAACAACACAGATATTCTTAAAGGTGCAACGTGACGACATTACACTTCCAAGCCCGACAGGTGACCCATAAACTTCACGAGCTCAATCATTACCAAAACTGTCTAATAACATTCATGACAATAATAGCACAGGATTAACCATTTGTCAAAATATAGTAACTTTAGCAGGAAAATATAACATGATATTGTGTATTAATGTCACGACAGGGAGGAAGCACAACCCAGGTGTAGCCATAGGAGAAACTGAAAAGGGCTTTATTGAAACTATTATGTCAATAACTGAAAACAAAAGATCATATGGGGGTCAAAAGGGCAGGGAGGAACAGCGAGGAGCCACTATGAAATACCGGGATCAGATTTAGGAACAGAGAAGAGGGCTGGAGAGAGCACTGACTATGGCACCGGGGAACTGGGGAACAGTAACTGGCACAGTGGCTGGTAAAGTAAGAGACAAAGATGGTGGCTGTGGCTGGACAAACAGGTACTGATATACTAATGAGGATCAAGAGATTGGCAGGTGTGACTGCCAACAGTGGCCTCTGTTGGCCAAACAGGAGCATGACAGACAGATTTTGACAGTCATTTTAAAGGAAATGGCACAAACTGGCTGCACAGAGCAGTATGCTGTGCTTGTCTGACAATTTCCGAACAGGAGATGTAGTTGTAAACCAGGTAGGGCCACCCCCTCATTTTTATCCAGCTGCCAAATGGGTGAGACATTGTTTAATTTGTATGTACCTGAGTTGAAAAATACATGCATATGGAATGACTTTATAAGTAAATCAGAGAAAATGAAACAATATCCAAATGTGCTATTTATTCCCCAGCTCTCCCTTGAAATATTAACCAGAAAACACCCCCCTTTGACATATATACCCTTAACGTCCAATCCAGAAAGCAAAATCAATTACAATATAATATTCATAACTTGGCACTAGCAGTGAACTGACCCTGACAAAAAACACAGTCGCATTTTACCAAAAAGGCACAAGTTAAGCCTTAAGGCACGTTGTTTTAACAGCTACAGCAGTAGTGCAGCCTCATGACCGCAGATTGTGAATAAATGTTGAAAACAATTTATATCAATATTAGTATAAGTGATTTGAATCTGTGACCAGGTGATAGTAAAGCATTGTGGCTCTCTGTTCTGCACCAGTTGCCTGTCAGCTTACGTTGGACCCAGATACAGCGCATAGAGACTTACGTCTGGAGAAGATGGAGGTGGAATTCTGCGGGCAGCCCCAGCCGTACCCAGATAGCCCACACAGATTCAAATGGCACTGCCAAGTGCTGTGCAAGGAGGGCTTGTCAGGATGGGGCTACTGGGAGGTTGAGCGGAGCATGGACTGTGAGGTTCAGTTAGCGGTCTCGTACCGGGGGATCGGTAGAAGTGACTGGGGTACAGACTGCTGTTTTGGATATAATGAGTATTCCTGGAGTTTGGCCTGCACTCCTTCTAGTTATTCCTTCAGGCATGATAAAGCAAACACCAATGTATCTGGCCCCCTCACCCCCAGGATAGGAGTGTACCTGAACCACAAGGCAGGAACTCTGTCCTTCTACAGCATCTCTGACACAATGACCCTCCTGCACAGGGTCCAGACCACGTTCACCGAGCCCCTCTACCCTGGGTTTGCTTTACCTTGGTTTTGGAGTAAATTAAAAATCTGCAACATCGGTAATGGGAGCAACAAGAAAAAATGAAAAAAGAGAGGGGGTGCTAATTTTTACAGACACTTCCGTCAGATACTTAAAATACTAAGAATGTTCAAATAAATAAATGATTAAGAAAGATTAGGTGCATGTTAAACACCAATTCCAGAAAATAAAGGAAGGAAAATAAGACTAATCACTCAACCTGTCGGAGATGGATGACAATCCAGTCTGTAGAATTAATTCACTCAAAATATTCAGAAGGAAATGCTAAGATATGGGCCGAAATTTAATCAGAAGAAGTGTAAAATCATTATATCAGAATCAGGAAAAGAAAGGGATTAATTTGACATTTAAATTCACACTTACAGGACTTTGGCTTGGCATGATGACTGCAGTAACAGATAACAATACACAGGGTCCAAATAGGAGGACGGTGATAACATACCACAGTAGAGAAATATGGTACACAGGGGTGAAGCTAGGAATTCTGGGGCTCCTCACAAAATGGCACCTTGGCCCCCTCAGCAACTGGGGGGTGAGGCTCCACTTTGGTAGATTTGGTAGATTTTGCTAACCGAAGTCTCCCCCTGCCCCAGCGGCCCTGGGTGTCATCGCAGACAGCGGAGATTTATACTTAAAGAAAATTAACCAGCCAGTGCTTTCCGTATGAACGTCACCTCAAGCTACCAAGCCATGCTGCTGTATATTCATGGTAAAGCAGCGATATCAGAGATTGCAGTTATAAAACTAATCCCGCCTTGACATTACTGTCCGATTTAGAGCGTCTGGAAAGCAAATGACAACAGATTTTTTTAATTTTTGTGTAACCAATCCCTATAACATACAACACAAACAACACTTTTTTCCCTTACCAACCATGCAGTAGCTTACAAATTGGTTTACTCAGTAGTGTTGTACTGCTCTGAATTTACTGAAAACCCTGATGCAGAAGAGGTTGTAGGTGTATGGAGGACGAATATCTGAATCATGATTAAATAAATCTTTGGAAAAGTAAATTGATTTAATTTTTCATTCCAAAAATTTATAGAAAAATAAATTTAATTTAATATTTCAATGATTTATAGAAAAAAAATATTCCAAAGATTTATTTATTGATTGTTTTTTATTCTAAAGATTTTTTTTATTCATCTGTTTTACCGTATGTAATTGAGTTGGCCAGCCCTAACCCTTTTTCTAAAGCACTATTGGGGTGGGGTCTGTGTCAGTAACTGAACGGTTGCTACTTAAAATCCCGTGAATGCCCAGAGTAATTCTACTCCATTGTGCCCTTGAGCAAGGCCCTTAATCTGCAATTGCTTCGTCCTGGGTCTGCATTAATCTACATCTAGCCCTATAAGGAGGTCCTCCAACTTACAGGGAAAAACCTACAGGGTTGGTGGAAGGATTGACACTCCAGCCACTGGAAACAAAAAACTCACACTGGTTCGTTTGGACTGGTGTGGTGCTGAGCTATCACCCACCACATGGCTGCACTCAGATTCTCACCACTGAGGTGGTTTGTCATGTGATGAGTGCAGCAAAGCCCTGTATCAGTGCATGCTCCTTACCTCACTATCGGCCAGGGGGACTTTGCTGATCTGTGCTCCATTACCTTGACCTTGCTCAGAGAAGCAGAAGTGCTAGCTGGCGTCCATGTTAGTAAGTTCACACTACATGACTTTTCAAGTTATCAGATCATCCCCGTGAAGGACAAGCAGGGGAGGGGACCGAGGGGGCAGAATGACAGGGAAGACAGAAGGGCCTGGAACACTCGACAAGACAGGGTATGACAGGACCGACAAGACAAATAGGAGTGACCAGAGGGACAGTGCCCTCAGACCAGACAGGACACAAGGGAGTGACCAGAGGGACAGTGCCCCCAGACCAGACAGGACACAAGGGAGTGACCAGAGGGACAGTGCCCCCAGACCAGACAGGACGTATGGGAGTGACCAGAGGGACAGTGCCCTCAGACCAGACAGGACGTATGGGAGTGACCAGAGGGACAGTGCCCTCAGACCAGACAGGACGTATGGGAGAGACCAGAGGGACAGTGCCCTCAGACCAG